GATTATAATTCTTGCAGTGCAAATGCTACAGAAAAGTTAGAGCATTTTTTTAGCTGCTGCGAGTAGTATTTGTCTGTAGCGCCATCTATCCATTACGGATGGCGTAGCAAAGATCTCGTGCTTTTACTAATATTCTGAAACAACATTTGTTTTTTTGGTGCAGCATATTTTACCTGTTTCTGCAATGCTCATCAACTAAAAATGTACTTGATTATAAATTTTGTGCACTTTTCACTATAATTTTTAAAAATAAACAAGGGCTCAGTCGAGCTCGCTCGCGAGCGAGCTCGAACGACGTCATCATTTAAAAAAAGAGTTTAAAATGATCTTGTGGCCACAAGTATTTTGCAAACAACTAAAGTATTCATATTTTCTAGATGAAATATCTAGCTATAGTAGTTTTTTTAAACGTTTTTTAAGTTTAATAGTTTTCTTTTACATTTTGATTATTTCATTTATTTTGCACATACTTTTTTTGGTCACAATTTACTTTTCAATAAATTATTTTTTAGAATCGTACTTTTTGACAGCATTCAATGTTTAGTTTTATTAATTCATTTTTTAAAAATTATCGTTTTGTTTAATGAACGTTTTGCAAGGCATTTTAGTCATTTTGCAATGAGATATCAAGTCAAAAAAGCTTTAAGTTTAACTTTAAAACAAAATACTTTAAACATTGCTTTAAGTGATATTTCATTTACTGGATTTATTCTAATTAATGGATATGTAATTTTTTATGAGACATTGTATTTGCTGACTGTAAACATTGCAGGATACTTTATGTTGATTTGTAAAAACAAAAATTAATTAAACAAAATAAAAAAATGCTTAAATTTATTCTTTGAAAGTGTTAAAAACTGTTTAAAGAAAACAATGCAAAAATCAGATTGTTAAAAAATCAGCAATAAACTGATTAACTTTATCAGAATGTTTGAGATGCACTTCGTGTGTGCCGTTTTCTATGTAATTTACAGTAACTTGATTGCAATATTTAGCGCTTTCTTCTGCCAATTCGTCAATAAAGACTGAATCATTACGGCCCCAAACAATCAGTGTTTTAGGTTGAATTTTTTGCGGATTAGAAACAATTTTTGATTTTCCTATACCACGAAGCATAGTTCTATAGTAGTTGAGTGGTCCAGTGAGTCCGTATGGTAGCGCAAAGTAGTGTTTGTAGACGTCTGTTTGATTAGTTGTAGCATAAAACTCTCCAAAAAAAGTGTCAATAAATTGAAAGTCATTGCCTCGCAGAATGGTTTCTGACAAGTACGGCACATTGAGGACAAACATGTAAGACGACTTGGTAAACTGTTTCCAAGAACTTTCTATTTGCTGATGCCAAACAAGTGGATGCGGTGAATTGATGAGAACTAAACGATCAACAAGATTTGGTTTCTGTTGAGCGACACTCCATGCCATATTGCCTCCCCAATCGTGGGCGATTATAATGCATTTTTTATTCTTCTTTCCAATGAGCAATTCAGTTATCAACTCAATTAAATCAGCAACTATCATTTCGCTAGTATAATTTTCAACGCCTGCAGTTTAAATAAAAAGTTAAAAACAAATAAAAGTCAACATCATTTAACTTGCTTTTGCTTACCTTGAGGTTTATCAGACTCTCCATAGCCACGCATGTTGACTGCCACAGTGTAGTATTGACTATTAAATCTTTTCATTTGCTCAAGCCAAACGTACCAGCATTCAGGAAAACCATGCACAAAAAGCATCAACTGGTTATTGGCGTTTCCTGACGAAATATAATGAAGTTTGATTTTTGCATTTGGCAACTGCACAAAATTATGTGTTCCAAAAGAGTTAAGCTCAGTCGGACTATTTTTTCCTGTGCGATCGACAACTTTAAAATATTTTACAGGTCCAGTTTTAACAATTGCGTTTAACAAATATAGAGTTGCAAAAGTTCCATACAAAAGTGTAAGAATATTAACTACAACCATTTTTTGAAAAGTATTCATTGAAAAAAAATAAAAAAGTAAAAATTTCATTTTGTTTTTTTGTGTATTAGTAGAAAGTATATTTAATGATGTAACTTTTAATGAAAAAACATAAAATTTTATTATTTTTGTTATAAATATACATCTAATGTGAGTAAACAGCAATGTTTGAACGTGTCTTTTTTGGTGTGAATGTAATTTTTACAACCTTTAATGGTAAAAATGTTGTTAACAATAAAATATAAAGTTGCGATAAACAGTAATAACAGTAAACATATCAAAATTATAATACGTAACTAAAAAATAATATTTGAATATTTTAAACATTAAAAAAAGATTTCAAAATTTAAAAAATTTTAATAATTTAAAAAATGATAAACTAACAATAAAAGTAACAATTTTTGTTTAATTGAGCAAAATTTAGACTAATATCTATGCTTGATTGTATTGATCATTAGAATTATTTTGTTGTGTTTGTTCAAAAGTAGAAGCAGTCAGAGCATCGCCAAGAATAGAGCTAGAAACAATGTTGTTTGATGGAAAGGAAACAACAGAAGAAGAAATTTCCGAAAAGTAAATAGGTTCAATTAGAGGAAACTGTCTTTCAGGATTGACCACCATAATATTTGAATCATCATTAAAACCAAACGTTGATGAGACAGAAGGACATGGATTTAATTGAACAGTGTTGTCATTCTGAGTGATGATGTCCATGATCAGTGGATCTGAATTAGAAAACGTCGAAGTGTTTTCAAAAAGACGATTAAACTCTGTGTCATCTAGTGTGGGATTAGCTGAAAAAAATTGGTGAGTGTTTGAAATGTCGTTCAGAACTGAATGAGAAGCTAGCAGAGCTTGTTGTTCTTCATTGTTACTTTCAGTTGAATTGTTCTGAAAGCTGTAATAGTTAAGGTTCTCAACATCGCCAATGTACGATTGTGAAATCATCGGATTGCTTGAAACTTCATTAAAGGGAGTGCTATCAAATGGAGCTGAGTTTGTGTTTGCTTCTGAGGTAGGCAACTGTTGTAGTTGTTCAGTTACCAGTGGATTCATGCTTGAGTTGAGCAACACAATTTGCGAGTTGTCGCCAAACGTTGAAAGGTGAATCGCACTGTCAAATGGTTGAGTCAGGGGAATTGTTTCGCCTGATTCGAGAAGCAGTGAATATGAGGAGTTGAATTGCGGTTGAAACAAAGCTGTGCTGTTGTCGTTTAGTGACGATGTAGCTGTGACTGCTGTTGTAGCATTTGTGGCATAATAACCAGAATCTGGCGAGCTTGTACAGGATAAAAACTGGTCACTATTTGCTGCTTGATCAAAAAACAATTTACTTAAATTAGAAAATCTTTTTAACAATCATCAATAAGAATATTCTTACAGTACTGCACCTGCCAGGTGTTGATATTTTGCTCCACTGCACCTAACACTGACTCAAAGTACTCGATTTGATGTTGACTTTCCGAGTCAGTAAAGTTCACACTGATGGACATTTTTGTTCGTACTGCTCGCAGCATCTCCTCAAACAGCTGAATGCCGTGGTGGTAGTTCTGGCACAGGTTGTCCAGTGTTTGTCGCATGTTCTCTGTCAGTGTGAGCAGTGGCCATGAACGAGGATACTGTGTCAGTTCAGAAAAGTTGGGCAAACTGAATGAGTCAGAGGGGAGAATTGATTCAAGGGCAATCAACGGAGATGATGGTGCAGTTGAGGAGTTCAGGGATTCGGTCACCTGCTGTGAGGAGTTAGAAGTGTTCATTGTAATAAGTTCAAAAAATGTTTTTTATCGAATTTAAAATAATCAAATTTGGTTGTGTACAATACGGCATTGACTAGTAAAACTAGCTTGGCAATTTTAATACTAAACTAAATCATCATTTTGACTGGCAAAACTACCGGCACTAGCTATACAGTAATCTAGATTGACTGTATTGCAAACTGCTAGCTGTTGTCTATTGCAACTTGTGGTTGGTAACACAAATGAAAGTGTTTTAGAGCATTTCAATACTTGGCGTGCTAAACTGTTTTTGTTAATCTGATAGTGGCCATCGATTTTAAGTTTTGCAAGTTTATGCCGTCAGTCAACTGTCTAGTGAAGCAAATATGAGAGTTCTGCCGATACGTACTTAAAAATGTGTGTCGAATGTGACTGTTGTCTTAAGATTAGGCAAAAATACATGTTAGAAAAAACGAGACTTGATTGCCTAACATTGGTAAAGGTGTGATGGACTGTAGGCGCGGGACTGTGCACAAGAGTGATGATAAATTTTTATGACAAACAGTAGATTTTTAAATACTGTTTTTGTGGTTTTTCCTAAGTCGTTCAGAAAACGGTTTGTTTCATTTTTCAAAGTTTAGTTTTCAGAAACAGATTATTCAATAATTTTTTCTTTTATCCTTTGATAAATCTTCTTTTCGTTCCCGTCTAATTCTTTTTTCTAACTTTAAGTTGGAAAGTTAATCCAGCAGAACGTGGTAGTTATCTCTCATAATGTTTCTTAGCATCAAACGGTTGACTGCTTATCATGCACAGGTTGTGGTTAGCGGTACAGTGCTCTTTTATCGGCGCACCACTTTTCTCTTTTATGGTGATTTTTAACTGACAATTTAATGTTAACTCTAGGTCAATCTCAGTTCAGTTTGGAGTTTCTGTTAAACACGATTACGCTAGCGTGAATGTTTTTGCTAGCGTTAACAAATATTCGAAGATGCTATCAGTAGCTGTGACAAAAGCTAATTGAATTAAGGCCAGACAAGGCGATCGGCGCGTCACCATGCGGCGTAAAGTATTCTCTATGAGAAAATTGAAAATTTTCAGACAGCGATATCTCAGCTAATTCTTAAGCTAAAATTATGATTAAAGTTTTAAATTAAAGCTAACGATTTGCTCGAGGGAAGCTTCAATCAGAATTTTGAGTTAGGCTCCCAATCTTTTTTAATTGCAAGTTAAGTGTTAAAAAATTTTAAAAAGTGAAATTTTTTGTATTCAACTTGCAATTAAAAAAATTGAGAGTTTAACTCAAAATTTTGATTGAAGCTTCCCTCGAACAAATCGTTAGCTTTAATTTAAAACCTTAATCATAATTTTAGTTTAAGAATTAGCTAAGATATCGCTGTTTGAAAATTTTCAATTTTCTCATAGAGAATACATTACGCCGCATGGTGACGCGCCGATCGCCTTGTCTGGCCTTAAATTGAAACATTAAGCAGTTTGCTATGTGCTGTGATATTTGTAGGTATTTATACATGTTTCGGCAATAACTGTTTATAGGTGGGAAAAGATACTTCGACCAAGTACTGTGCGTTGACAAATATGCGCATTTCGGTTTTTGTGTACAAAGTTCAATTTTCAGTTCTACCTTTGTAAAGTACTACAACCATCAGATTGCTAAACAGGCAATACAACAAAAACAGCTAAATGCAAAAAGTGTTTTAATACAAGTGGAAAGTTGCTTTGAGTGAAATTTAAAAACAATAGTGCATTTATATAAAAACAACTATTGCAAAGTTAAAAACAGCTATTTTCGACTAAAAAACTTTTCCAGCGCTTGTTGACACTCCTCAGAGCGGAAAGACTGTTTCAGCGCTTCCGCCTCAACGTCGTTTATCTGATGGAGCAACTTCTTCATCTCCGCATTTCTAACCAGTGATTTGGCATTGACCATTGCATTGGGGTAGCACGTCTTGACGAGACCCTTCTCGCCGTAGAGCATCTCCTCAAGGCGTGGCAGAAGTTTCTCCTTGGGCAACAGCTCTGAGACAAATCCACGCTGATGCGCCTCGGCCGCTGGCAGGCGGTAGTTAAAGTACAGCATTTTGGAGGCAACCGATGGCCCAAAGATGAGCGGAAATGTGTACGTGGAGCAGCCTTCCGGTGACTGGCCAAGTGAGGTGAAGGGCGTGGTGAAGGCGGCAGTGTCCGAAGCAATTACTGTGTCCATCAACGCCAGTGTGGTCACCTGAAGTTGACAAATAAAAAAGGAAAATGGTAGTTAATTGATGACGATGTACTAAGTAAGTAACAATCCCACTGACCATTATGCCAAATGCTGGCCCATTAACGGCGCCAATTATTGGCTTGGGGAAATCGATAAAAGAGGTAACAAAACGGTTAAACAGGGTGATGCCATTGTCTAACGCCTTTTCCATGTCGCCGTCAGCTTCCGCCAGGCCAACCATAAAGTTGTCTACAACAAAACAATAATAAAAAATGCATTAGTAAGTAGTTTATAAAACTCATTGAAACTTACTCAAATCATTTCCTGCTGAGTAGTAGTCTCCGTTGCCGGTAAAGACAAGAAAGCGAATATCCGGATTTTCGGCCGCTTCGCTCATTACGTCGATGATCTCGCCGTACATGCCCACGCTAATTGAGTTGTACTTCTTTGGGCGATTAAGTGTGATCCATCGTACATGATCACGAGTTTCAAAAAGTATCGGTGCTTTAGAGCCTTCTGATGACATTGCTCGCTGAAGATTGAAGCGAAGATTTCCCAGCATGGGAGAGGTGAATCGAGTCAAACCGCGTGCTAGCATTGTACAAGTGAAAATTAAAAATGTCAATAAAAAACAGTAAACAATTTTAATTAAGAATAAGTAGTGGATGCAATTGTAGTAAATTTTTTGTTATTGATGAAAACAACAACTCAGCTAATCAGCGTGTATTTATGTACACAAAATGTTG